GCTAAAAAACATCAATTAGAGCAATATTAAAAGCAACCTGCCCATTCATGGATGCAATTTTTGGTGTAAACTTTATATTGCCTGTGCATTTAAAATCAATGTAAACATTTCATCTTTCACAATTAAATGAGTATAAAGAGCCCTTTCAAATGAACACTCCCTATTACAGCAGAGGTAGCAAAATCTTTCAGCACTAAAGTGAGGGGATAATTGATAGGAACGCGTCCCGGAAAATTATAAAGTTATATTAAAATTTTATTCTTCGTTCAAAATATTTTTTGTGAAACTAAGTTTTAATATATTTATAGAACTAAAACTTCGCTTTATCGACAACAGTCCCACTACAAATGCGATTTAGGAGTCATATGTGCCTTGATACCTATTGGCCCTGGGGCTGTGTGGCTGCATGACGAAGATGCAGTTTGATATGTATGACCTGGTTGGGGATGCTGATCTCGCCCAAACCTGGATAAGAACGTTTAAAAATCAAATCTAGATGACATTCCTTTGTATCGTTGAGCCTTCTACTCGTTTCTTTCTTCGCTAAATCAATTATTAGGTTGAGGCTCAATAAACCAAATAGCCTACTTTTTTAGGCACCTTGAGAAAATGAAAGTAGTCGGACAAAGAGAAGGATGTAAAGTTGAGAAAAAGGAAAAAAGCTAAGGAGGGAAAAATGCAAATATATAAAGTCAAAAAGCTAAGTGAGTATATGGAAGATGAATATAAAAGAAACTGAATTATTAACAACCGTTTAGGATATGAATAAAGGATCTTAAGAAGTTGATTTTCCTAAAAGGCTCACCGTTAGTAAGCTTTTTAGCAGTCATCATAGTCTTGGATGCACGTGATAGCGTAAGTATATCCTCTTCATCAAAAACATTGCCCTGTTTTCCGAGGTTACTCTCGTACCTTGAATGCCAAGTGCCAGCAACATCTGTCAGATCCAACATTTCCCGTTCTTGAGAACTAGACAGCTCCTTTCGAGGAGAGTTGGCGCCATATGCTTTGATGCCACCAGAGTCCGCAACTTCTTGCACAGATTGTCCCGTCGCTTGTGCATCCGGGTCTGAGAAAAAGCTATTCTCACGAGACTTCTGTCGTGAAGTCATTTTTACGTTGGGAGGCTGAGGACTCTGTAGAGAAGAGAGCTGTTGCTCAAATTGAAATGCATACTGTGGTTGTTGAAGTAGTAATTGTTGTTGTTGTTGTTGTTGCTGTTGTTGTTCTATTTGCACCCAGAATTCGGTAAGGCTAGATTTAGGGTCTAGTGGGTGAGCAGAAGTGGCCTTAGGCAAGCCAGCAAGGCGAGCTGCATCTATCCATACTGGTGACAGCTGACTTGGCCAGATTAGTCCAAGAACATCTCTCCCATCAGATGATGTAGACCATCTAGGTGTAGGTTTCGCGGGAGCCGAAGTCATAGGTTGCGATATCAAGGCATGGCGGCTTGTTGAGGTACGCAAGTCAGATAACTCAGAAGCTTCGTTAATTTTTGCAGCCACAGATGCTGATGTGGCCACAACAGGAGTGGCACTCGTGGAACAAATAGGACTTATAAATGAAAAAGGAGGCACAACTGTAGAAAACTCCAGGTTTGGAACATTAAGGTTATTCGTGCATCCATTCCGACTAATAGAAGCGGCCTGAGTAACAACGCCATTAGTGGAAGCAAGAGGAAGTGGCAGATTAGGCCCAAAAAGGTGAGTCGTAGACCCGAATACCGCGTGGCCATGGCCAAAGTTGGCAACAGACGCTGCTGCGGGAATAGGGGTGCTCAGGTCGAGTCTGGAGCCCATTGGACTTGTCGTCGGACTGTCAGACTAGGGAAAGAGTTCATAAGAAAGCAAACGCTTCATAAGTATAGTTCATTGGGTTCAAATTGAAACTAAGTCCATAGTTGAACGTAATTCCTACAACGGATAAGGCATTACAAGATACAATGAAATATAAAATGTTTTACAAAAAATAATCATCATAAGGGCATTCAAATCACAACCCTAATCCTTTAAAACTCAGGACGGCTGTAGGTCAGAATAGCTATTTTTCATAGAGCTCGTTTTGACGTGAGGCCTCAGATAAATGTGCTTTCCGTATATGCTATAAGAACACAATTAAAAAATATCATAGATATGAAGACCAAGATGATGTGGCCTTTTGTGTGGTCGCAGTCTTCTTTCGTTGTATAGAAGTTATTTGACCTTGTTTTCGCAACTCGGTCGTATTAGTAGGAAGACTTAGAGGAACGCACCTAGTCTGAAGTCCATTGTATGCATCATCATTTCCAGAATAGGACCGTAGACGCGGTGCATTCCCATGATAGGAGGATATAGAAAATGTGAATGACCAGGGCAGGTGAGATACCATAACTGTTTAGCACACATTTGGTCAAAGGATGGGCTTCACTTGTCTCTTTGACGAGTTGTAATATGGTGGTACAAATGGCGAGACTCACTGACGATGCAGACTACGATGCCGGCAAAACGTCTGGGAATGTACCATGTCCACGGTCCTATA